ACTTGTGATGGGTTTTAGTATATGGGAGGAAGTATTGTGCGGTGGTTAGAAACGTGGGTGCTGAGGAGTCTGTTCTGTATGCCGATTATGGTGGTCGTGAAGCATATACATGTGTTAAAATCCATGGAACTGAATGTAAAAGTCTGTTTCACTGTATAGTATAATGAAGAACACCGCATGGGGCCAGGAGATAGGCTGCCTGGGTTTGTTTGAATAATGGGTCCATTCCTTATTAGTTGTGTGGTCTTGGGCAAGTTACTAATGCCTCAGTTTCCTCATCTGTAAATGCAGGTAGTAATAGCTCCTATATGAGACTGTTGTAAAGATTCAGTTAATATATATAAAGCACTTAAAACGTTGCCTGGCTCTTTGTTATGTGCTATGTAAGGGCTAGCTACTAGTATTATAATGTGAATATAAAGGAGTAAAAGGATGTATGAGCTATCATAAGATTGTAACAGCTATGAGTAGTCTGAGACACAGCTACCATGAGGTACTGCTTTTATGCAGGAAAGGGAAAATACTCCAGAAGAAGTCAGTGTAAATGCTACTAAGGAAATTTAAGTTTGCTCTTTTGCTATTTTCCAGGGAAGGCAAAAACCAACCACCTAAACAAAAGAATCCCCTCACTCTACAAATTCATTCATTCATGATTGAATGTCTGCTATTTTCTAGGGACTTACTGAAAGGTTAGAAAGGATCTTGGCAATCTTTCACTTCCAAACTCATGTGATGACATGTTCTCTAGCATGTCTGGCTTTTTTTTTTTTTTCCTTTGGTGGCCTCAGTTTTCTCAGATTTACAGCTACTGGCCAGAAGTGCTACCAGTATCTGTGATTGGGCGTTATACCCATTATTGCATCTACCAATGAGAATAATGGGACCAAATAAATTCTACTAGGTAGACTACACAGAAGGTAAATTCTGAGAATTACTTGGGAATTAAAAGGAACCTTTTGAAAACAGGAACCTGGGAGTTCAAGCAGTGGGTGTTTGGAGGGTGATCTAGATATACTTAGGAGTATTTGGATCATGAAACTCTAGTACTAAATTGGAGAATAATGATGCTCTTTGACATGAAGAGATGAGGCATCATTTGATTATGATGTTAAAATAGTAATCTTTTTTTTCTTTCTTTCCTCCCTCAGCCCTAAAATAGTAATCTTGAACCAGTCCCTTCGTACAGGGCATTAATGGGGCAGGTATAAGAACATGACAGAGAAACACTAAGAGCAGGCAGAGGTGCTATCCGATTCACACGAGTGAAGTCTTGTTTTTAATGTTTAAACGTTACTCTTTGACAGTTGAGAGAAAACAGTCCCCCCTGGGAGGAGGAAAGCGGCCAAGAGAAAATGGAACAGCCCGAGAAAGAATGGAAATGATTCTATTGCTCCATGATGCAGAGCCAAGTGGGAGGGCAGCCAGGGTAAATGATCAGAGGCTGTCTACGAAACAGCTCGCCTCAGCTTGTGCGCTGGGTGCCTGCTCGGTGAAGCAGCGACAGCTCTGTCATGGCTGACACGGCTGGAGTGCCACATTAGTCATCTGCAGGAAACCAGTGTTGATCACCATTTTGCAAGAAGTGTCTGAAAGATCAAGAAACATGGGCACACAAGATTGCATCTCTGCTCCACTTCTCCATGGTTGTCATGGGAAGTGAGTGTCGGAAGTAACAAACAAATCTGGACTCTGAGGAACTACACAGTAGAGCCCTAGTGATTGGTAGAGCTTGGCATTTGTTGATTAAAAATACAAAATGTGTTACAACTTCAGTTTGTCACAGTAGCTTTGAGGATGCTGATATTTTAGTTTTATTTTGGGGCCGGGGAGCAGAGATATATAACTTTTTAAAATAAAACTTTGAGCCTCATGTCACCTAGGAGTCAAAAAGCCCTTTGATGGCACATATTTTCCTTCTTTTGAGTGTCATAAATACAAGAGAGGTAACATACTTAACACCAAAAAGCTGCAGGGTCAGGTAACAATCTAGTTATAAACTTGGTTAGTTGTTGTCTAGCCACTTTAAAACCACCTCTTTGTTCTGTGGAAGTGAGGGTGTTGTCCTGACACTTTGCCACTATAATCATTTCTCCTCCTTAACTGGGCAAAAGGGCCCACAAACTCCTGCACCCTGCCGTAGTGTAAATGATTACTGATTCAAGAGGAGTCTTCATACTGATTTTAACAGATTAAGAAGTACAGTCATGCCCCACAATATTTCAGTGAACAACGGACCGAACATACAACAGTGATCCCATGAGATTATAATGGAGCTGAAAAATTCCTATCCCCTAGCGATTTGTTACCGTCTCCTACAGAATTCAGCACAGTAATATGCCGTACAGGTTTGTAGCGTAGGAACAGTAGGCTGTATCACACGTAGCCTCGTGTGTGGTGGGCTATGGCATCTAGGTTTGTGTAGGTGCATCCTACGATGTTTGCACAAGGACGAAATTGCCTAATGACTCATTTCTCAGAAGGTATCCCTGTCACTAAGCAATGCATGATTGTACCAATAAACTGACTAAAGCTCAGAGACCAACAGTAGTGGAATTTTCTTAAAGCAGAATCTACAGTGGAGCATAGTTGAGCAGGGATCCTGGGCTGCGTTAAGTTGGAGGAACATGGAGTAAATTGATCCCAGATCCCAGGCAGAAGTCCTCAACTAATTCTAGGTCTTTCTAATCTGACTAACCACCCCTTGCTGGCTTTCTTTCCTGCCTGTCTTTATATAAAATCACGAAATGTGAGGAATGAGAACTCTAACATGAGGAAAATCTAGTGTAATTCCCTCATTTTCTAGGTGAGAAAATGAAGACCCAAAGAGATTAACTAATATAACTAAGGAAACTGAAACTTCCTTAGTAAATGCACTGTGTGAAACTCAGCAGGTTACCTTGGAAGACTTTCAGATATGCCCGAGTCAAGCTTTATGAAACAAAACCGTTGCATTTTTGAGGTAAAAGTGCCCTGACAATATGAACCATGAACATTTAAAAACTGAGTATTAGTTTAGAATAAAATCTAAAAATCTAGAGAGATGATAAGGAGAGGGAATATTTTGCTTTCTAAAATATATTTTCATAAGTTATCATTCTCTTTTATTTCTCTACAAATGCTCAGTTCGCCATATTTTTAAAAATCTATCTAAATAGATTCAGGCTGGGTGTGGTGGTTGTGCCTGTAGCCCCAGCTGCTTGGGAGGCTGAGGTGGGAGGATCGCCTGAGCCCAAGTGTTTGAGGTTACTGTAAGCCGCGATTGTGCCACTGTACTCCAGCCTGGGTGACATGAGGGAAACCCTGTCTCTTTTAAAAAAAAAAAAAAAAAAAAAAAAAAAAAAAGATTCAGGCTTAAGCTCTAAACTGTGAACTCTTGTTTTCAACTATAGATAGAAATATAATGACCACAATTTTTTTTTTTTTTTTTTTTTTAGAGACAGCATAGCTGGGCCTGGAGTAGCTGGGCCTACATGTGCATGTCGCCATGCCCAGCTAATTTTTTGAAATTTTTGTGTGGAGATAGGGTCTTGATATGTTGCCCAGGCTCATCTTAAACTTACGGCCTCAAGTGATTCTCCTGCCTTGGCCTCCCAATGTGGTGGGATTACAGTTGTGCACCACTGTGCCTGGCCCACAATTTTAACTTGTAAAATTAATGGTGTTTCATTCCCTCAAAAAAAAAAAAACCCCAACAAAACCTGGAAATCAACTACCAATTGATTTTCTCAACTTGGGAAGCTACTGCCCTCTAGAGGTGCATTTGGAAATCTTGGGGGTACTTTTCAGTTGTCATAATGACTGATGGGCAGGGGGAGTTGCTACTGGCATTTACTGTCTGGGCATGAGGGATGCCAGACATGCCAAAATGCAGTTTTATGTATGAAGAACGTCGTCCCCAACATACCAATAGTACTCTTGGGAACACTATGAAAGGGAGATTTGCAAAGTTACAAGATGTATCTTAAAAAATTCTCCATCGTATTTAGTGTAAGGGGACTTAGTGAGAAGGGGGCTGAGGGTGGGAGAAGGAAGGTGGGTGTGAAATACACAGGGCTTCCACATGTTGGGAGAGAACATGAGCCTAACTACATTTCAGCCCAGCTTATCTCACCAGCATTTATCTCAACATTAGTATCTGAGACTCGACTTGCCAATTGTTCATTGTGCACAGCTGTAGTACCACTTAACCTAATAACCAAAAGTAAAGACATCTGATTGATCTATGTCATACAGGTATGTATATACAGGCAAATGTTAATAAAATGGTTAAAGTGCTCTCTTAGTTGCAGAGTAGACCTCAGATGCAAGAAAGACACACCTTGAATCTCTTTTATCTAAGATTTTCAGGCACTGTTAAATTGTGTAAGGTAAAGTTCTACTTGTTCTGCAGTATCTATTCTTTCCTTCCTTTCCTTAAAAAAAACCCCAAACAGTTCCCATTTCCTCCCACATTTCCCAGTTTCCTTGTGGGCGGGTGTGGCCATGTGACTTCACCAGTGGACTGTGTAAACCAATGTGTGTAACATCCAGCTTTTCCCCTCTTCTTTGAAATAGGGAAGCTGCTTGCTCTCCACTGTTTCCCCTTCTTCACACTTGCCGGGAAAGGATGACGAGTTGGGCAACCACGTTAGACCCAGACCTAGAGATGGAAGCCACGGAAGTTGGATCCTTGGATGACTACATGGAGCAGAGCAACCTATTCACTTCTATCTTACTTACAAGCCAATGTATTATTTTTTTTCGTGGGACTGTTACCTTGCCCTGTCAACTGTAGACTCCAAATAATAGAAATGACATCTGGACTCAAAAAAAAAAAAAAGTAGTGGGAGAAACTCGAACATAGCAAGCCTTTTTATATATACGGGTCACAGACACATACCATATACATACCCTACAAAAAATATAACTTGTATTTACAAGCTCAATACATTATGAACAGGCACAGTCCTGAATAGTTTAAAAAGGTCAACTGTTAAGATCTTTAAACAGGGTGGGGGTGGGGGGAACTTTATTATAGGTATATTTATTAATAATACAATTTCAACGTATATTTGTTATGTTCAATATAGTTAATATCCAGCGTGAACAAAGCCAGCCTCATCCTTTCTTCTTCCGCAGATTATACACAAGGGAAGGAGGCTTCTTGGTTTTATAGGCCACACTTCTCTTGATGCGCTGTCCTTTGATGTTCACGATATGTGGCAAGAGAGGGGGCCGGACCGTTAGAACTGTTCCTTGAGGTGTATAGCCTCGGAGATGCAGTCTGTCCTTAGCATGAGGTGTTACTGCAACCCAACCTATGTGGACGTGTGACAGAACACAAAATGCTCTTAGCAGCCAACCAAAGCTCACAATGTAGCATCAAAGGAGGCTATAACTCTCTTTCTTTCTTTTTTTTTTAAGAGACAGGGTTTTACTCTCTTCCCCATGATAGAGGGTAGTGACATGACCATAGCTCATTGTAGCCTTGAATTCCTGGGCTCAAGCGATCCTCTTGCTCAGCCTCCTAAGTAGCTAAGACTACAGGCATGCTCCACCATCCCTGGCTAATTTTTAAATTTTTTATAGAGATGGGGTCTTCCTATGTTGCCTAGGCTGGACTCAAATTCCTAGGCTCAAGCGATCTTCCCACCTCAGTCTCCTAAGTAGCTGGGACTATAGGCACACACCATCATGCCTGGCTTCACTCTATTTTTAAAAAAGCACACAATGTATTTGTGAAAAGTACAAATTTATTTTCAGAACAGGTTGCATTTTATGAATAAACTACTAGGTATGCTTTAAAATAATCAGCTTACGTCAGTTAAGGCATATTTCTATAAAAATGCACTCAAGTCGTAAGTCTGCTTTATTTGGTCTTTAAAAAGTGTCTGGGGACAGGTGAGGTGGCCTGGGAGGCTGAGGCACGAGGATCACTTGAGCCCAGGAGTTCAAAGGTGCAGTGAGCTATGTTTGGGCCACTGCACTCCAGCCTGGGTAACAGAGCAAGACCCTGTCTGGGGGGGGGAACCTGCTTGGGGCAAAATTACCTGCAGAGGAGAACTTGATGTCCGCAACTGCTTCAGATTCTCCAAGTCCTTCTTTTAATATAATGTCTTCAGCAACAAGAGAAGGAAATTCTGCCATTCGTTCTTTTCCACCCATTGGAACCTACCAGTTAAATAAAATATGTTTGGAAGTTCAAATTAAATTCCGTCTAACTCTAATATTAAATAAGTCACTGATAAAATAATTCCATATAGTGATAGAGAATAAAATCCTTATAAACAGTCAACTGCTGAAAAACCTTGAATCACTTCTAGGGTCAAATAAAAGGCACGGGTGCTCTGTGATGAGGTGACGCCTACAGATCCCAGGGCCGAGGACCACATGTTGGGCCTGTGCCTGGCAGCAACCTGGACAGGAAAATTGTGCTTTATTTGCCCTGTTAGAGCCCTCCATGGGCCTCACATAGAGTAATGTTGGGCAATGAAGACAAGGTCCTTCCAAATCCCTTAGTTCTTACAGGCATGGCCAAGGAAGATTAATCCTTGCTCTTTACAAGTCAAGGGTCAATGTATACTGGATAAGATTTTAGCTTTTGTTTATAAATGTTTCCATGAATGAATTAGAAGTAACTAGATGATGATGTATCCATTTAATAATAAATCTGTGTTTAGCACTAGGGACAAAGATATATTTTATAATATGGTCTCTGCCCCCAAGGAGATAAGAAGGGATAAATAATAACATGTAAACAAATACAAGGTAAGTACACATCTGTGGTAGTGGGAAGGAGTAATGGGTTTGGTCGAGGAAAACGTTAATGAAGAAATGTTATTTTGAGAAATGGGTTGAATTTACTCAGTGGAAAGATATTCTGTGTAAGTACAGGTGTAGACAAAAACTGGAAAAAGGATGATGAGGACAGAGAACTGTAGTGTAATCGTCTAGAGGATGTTACTTGTGTGTTTGTGTTTGTGTGTATTAATGATGAGGCTGTCAGCAGTTTATCCTTCGCTTAGTAATGTGGAACTACCAAGGATTATAAGCAGGAGAGAAAATAGAGGTAAGAATAAAAAAAGAAAGAATGTGACGTACTTTATATCTGAAAAGATCTCTCTAGTGCACGGTTTCTCAAGGACGCAGTAGAGCAGGAGAGAAGAAGTGGAATAATCTGTAAAATATGTGTCTGGTATTAAGGACCCAGGAGGAGAGCATTTCCACTTAGACCAGGGCTTCTCAGCCACTACTGACATTTTGGATTGGATCATTCTTTGTTGAGAAAGGTTCTCCTTTGCAATGCAAAATGTTTAGCATCATCTGTGGCCTCCGCCCACTAGACTGCAGTAGCATCCCCCAGCTGTGATGAAATCTGTAATTTCTCTTCACTCAGAATTGTCTAATACAACTTCTTGCGATGATGTCACTATCGGACACTTAAAATGTGGCTGCTGTTACTAAGGAACCATATTTTAAATTGTATTTAATCTTTAAAAATTTTTTAAGTTAAAACATTTTTTTTTTTTATTAGAGACAGGGTCTTGCTATGTTGCCCAGGCTGGAGTACAAGGGTTATTCACAGGCACGATCATAGTGTACTATAGCCTCAAACTCCTGGGTTCAAGCAATCCTCCCACCTCGGCCTCCTGGGTAGTAGCTGGGACTACAGATGTGTGCCACTATGCCTGGCAAATTTTATTAAATTTAAACTAATATATTTAAATTTAGACAGCCACATGTTGCTAGTGGCTACCATATTGGAGAGTGTAGTCTAGAGAAAGAACAGCTCTATGGTTATTCTGGGATCAGTCCAAATCAACATCCCTTTTCATATGGAGCCATTTTGCTTTATAGCCAGAATCCTCGAAGAGAATGAGGTGAGAGGAGAGCTAGCTAACAGTGTAACAGATGGTTCCTTCCAACAAAGTCTTCTTTACAGATCTATGGGACCATCACGGTACATATATATAAATATTAACTGTCAACCATGCAATCACTGTGTTGCCTTACCTGGAGTAACGTATGACCCGCGTGCTTCTGATACACGACATCTGCCCTGTCCAAGGAAGTAATATGCACGGGCAGGAGGTTGGAAGCCACAACTGTAAACCAAGCTGACTGGTTTCCCTTGAGAAAGGAAGAAGTTATTTTATCGAGTGAAAAGCTTGGAAAACCTGCACATTATGAGGTACAATCAGTTAACAAAACAACAAAACCCCAAATCAAGCTCCCTTTGTAAGTACCCGTATGGCAGCAGCTGTGGTCAAATTATATTAATGTGTAAAAGAACGGGCAGAGTATGGAAGCAGTGCACTTCAGTAATTCATGTAAAAGGATGACTTCTACAGAGCTGTTGATACTAATTAAGAAAAACAATATGTCTATTATTAAAAACAAAAAGGAAATGCTATCTGCTTTAACTGTCTCTGTGTAAAGCTAGGTTTAAAATATTAACATTTCATAGGCTTTAATGAAATATATACAAGTTCTAACTGTGTAAGGCTAAATTTCCAACAAAGTATGAATACACACAAAACCCAAGAAATGTGTGGTAGTAATGGCCTGTAAGCTGCTGGACATATTCATGTTTCATTTTCCCTTTTTCTCCTCACTTTGGAAAAATAAGCAATTCTACAGACATTTCAAAATCCCCAGATGCTATGGAGATGAATACTAAAATGTGCATATATAAAACATACATATGGAATATGAAGAAGTGTGGAATTAATGCATATTAACCCTGTACCTAAAGGTTTCACCTTACGATTTCCAAGTGAAATAAAACCATAGGACAGAGACAGTATCTCATCTTAAGTTCCAAGCTGTATGGGGCATACAACGTCCCACTGAAGACACAGTTGTTAATGGTACAGACTTTCCTTACCTGCAGGAAATCTATGCGGCCTATAGCACCCAAAAATAGAACCATTCCTGGTTTAAGGACAAAAGTTCTTGGAACGATGGAAAGTGTTGGCAAAACCATGTTTACTTCTTTTTCTGTTAGAAGATTTAAAATCTGTGAAACAAATGGCAGATGTTTTAGAGAATTACTTTTAATGAAAATATGATATAATTTATAGAAGCTCAAAAGTGATTAAAAAATACTTCCAGACTTCACAATAAACCAAATTATGTCTGGGTTTGTTGCACATAAAATTTATATAGATTCTTTCTGTCAAATTAATCTTAATTTACCGGTGTTCTACTTTTCTTTTTTTTTTTGGTGTCCTACTCTTGTTTTACAACTTATTCTTGAGTAATGGCAAAATAATCTAATGGGATGCTTATGTCAGCAGCATCCCCCAGATGTCAAAATTGGCGTGAACCTAAAAACACTGCTGGTTCACTACCAAGATAGAAAATACATGCTCTCCGCATCAAGGCTTCTGGGAAGTTTTCAGCTTAAACTCATGGACTATGGAACCTCATGTCGTAAAATGGTCATCCCATTCTAGGAGCAGGTAGGTAAAGAGCGTAAAGAACCTCTTTCCAAATTCTGGTCTTCAATTTCCTTACTTCCCCCAAACAGTCAGCAGAAAATAAGAGAAAGTTATGAATCCTCTGTCTTCCAAGAATGAAAATTTCTAAAGAGACTAGAGAAAACAGAAAAGGAAAGGCAGAAAGTCTAAGATTCTGGTAAGATTTAAGGAATCAAAATCTGGTTAAAAAACAATAAAGTAAAAATTGGACCAAAAACCTGTGAACATGGTTAAGAATAATAATTATGAAAAAAAAAAAGTGCTACATAGAGAGGCTTATCAGAAAAATAAGAAGGGGGCTATAAATAGTTTTCCTCATTATTTGTGTTTGAAAAAGAACATTAAAAGCCATCTGCAGTAAAGAAACTTTTTAACCTTTTTTTTTTTTTTTTTTAGCTCAGAGTCTATTACTTCCATTTCACAAGACTTCCTTGGTTCAGTATGGGCAACGCTGGTTTGAGGCATCAAATAAATATATCTGTAAACTGACATAGAAGCAAACTGCCAGAGCTGAGAGACTTTTTCTTTTTAAAAATTTGAGAGTCTCATTCTGCTGGCTAGAATATTTTGCAAATTCTTGTCTTTCTGACCCAGCTGTTTCACAGAGGGTATACGACTACAATCACTGCTATCTCTGACCTAACTAAGTCTGAAAGGGAAGAATTAATTCATGAATTTAAAGCGATAGAACATTATTAGAAAGCAGTCCAGCCGATTTTATGAATGAATCAGAACTGAGTCTAAAAGACAGCAGGAGCAATTTTTCTAGGAGGGTCATAAGTTAAAAGAGGCTGGGCATGGTGGCTCACTCCTGTAATCCCAGCACTTTCAGAGGCCGAGGCAGATTTGCTTGAGACCAGCCTGAGCAACACAGCAAAATCCTGTCTCTGCAAAAAAATAAAAAAATAGCTGGGTGAGGTGGCGCATGCCTGTAGTGCCAACTACTCAGGAGGCCGAGGTGGGAGGATTGCTTGAGCGCTGGTGTTCCATGTTGCAGTGAGCTGTGATCGTGCCACTGCACTTCAGCCTGGGCAAAGGAGCAAGATACTGTCTTATAAGAAAAGGTCTATATGATTCTATGACATGGGACGCCAAATAAAATACAATTCTGAGAATGAAATTGTAAGTGATCCTGATGAAAGGAAAGAAAAGTACCTAAGAAACCAGTGTTGTTTCACAGGGAGATACAGAGATAATTAGAAGAATGAACATGGGTGGCTCAGTGGTAGAATTCTCGCCTGCCAGAGATAATTGTAAGAATTAGAAACCGGTCAGCAACCGCATTCAAAGGAAGTGATTAATCAGTTTGTTGTGGGGCTGTATCCTGGATGCACACTGGAATCAATCAATGACTTGGACGAAGATCAAATATGCAAATAATAAAATGTTATGAGATATAACGAATACTTAACAGAGTAGAATATAGGCTGAATTTAACAAGACAAAATCAAAGTTACTCATCAGATCCTTCAATTGGATTAAAAAAGATGCATAGGTGCAAGACAGGTGAAGTTAATCCTAGTCTACATTATGCTCATCTGAGAGCACTAAGGTCTTGGTGTCATACTTTAAGAACTAAAAGAGATTAGAAAATTCTGAAAAGAGGCTTGGGTCAATGAACAGCCCGTCCCTCAGAGACCAGCTGTAGGAAATGAAGACAATAATCTGGATTATGTCGGCACAGTAAATGTTCAGTGTTGGGTGAACTAGTGAAAGAGAAGAAAAGGCAGGGATAGGTGAGGAAGAGATAGGACATTACACTTTAAAATATTTCAAGGTCTGGCAAGGGAGATAGGCATTACATTCGTTCCATTCAGCTTTGAGGAAAAATGGGTACAAGTTACAGGGAGACTGCTCAGCTACATACAAAAAACAAGTCAAAGACCAAATGGGTTCCCTTGGGAGGTGACTTGACACTGCTTCAGTTAATGCTGAGTGACTCTACTTCAGCTCAAGCTGGATGACCTCTGGATAGATACGTTACAGAGGGAATTCAAGCGTGGACTAAGGAGCCGGGCTGCAATAACATTTACGATTTCTTCCAACCTCAAAATCTTGGAATTCTCTAAATGTCTCCCTAAGGTAACAACCAGAATGATAAAACAAGCAGGCTGTCAGAACTGAAGTCTACCAAATGGGATAAAGAACCTGATGGCAGAAAGATTCATCCCTTAGCCGATTTTATGAACGAATCAGAACTGAGTCTAATATGAAGTATACCTCTTTTCCTGTTTTCTGCCAATGAAAGCAGTAATACTTGTGCAACTGAAAGTAAATGTTTCTAAAAGAAACCAAATACATACACAGTTTTCTTTTGTAATCCCGGGGGTGTCATAAAACCAGTGGGCATCTCTCACATCTTGTGCAGTCAATTCTACTTTTTTGGTAGGTTTGGGTACACTCATAACAGGTTCATTTTCCATGTCAAAGGCAAGTGAATCAGCATCAAACTCAAAGGTAGCTTCATCCTTTTGTTCTTTTGAATACAAGAATGTTCTTCCAACTCTTCCTGGAACAAGTTATATTAAGGTTATTATTCACTCCCTTAATGCTTTTGACTCCAGACATAATTTTTATGTTTGCCTCAAACAAGTTACTAAGACTAACGACAGTGTATGGAAGTGATTACAATGATACTTTTGCTTTTTTCCCCAAAGGCAGTGGGGGCCAGACTCTTGCAATGATGAGGTATGTGGCTGGCTGTGTACATTTAATTAATTAATTCATTTATTTATTTAGTAGAGATGGGGGTCTTGCTATGTTGCCCTGGCTGGTCTTGAACCCCTGGCCTGAAGTGGTCCTCCTGCCTTGGCCTCCCAAAGTGCTGGGATTAAAGGTGTGAGCCACCATGCCTGGCCTATGTAGTTATGTTTTTAGCGTCGGGGTCTTGCTCTGTCACTCAGGCTGGAATGCAGTGGCATGATCACAGCTCAATGTAGCATCAAACTCCTGGGCTCATGGGCTCCTCCCACCTCAGCTTCCCAAACAGCTGGGACTGCAGGCATGTACCACCACACCTGGCAGGCTGTGTACATTGGGGGAAGGCGGGTATTGGAAATCAAACTGTTATTAGTAAAGGAAAGCTAAAAAAATATACCGAGGAAAGGGACAACCTAATTTGAAGCTGCTGCCTGGAGTCAATAACCTTTACCCCCTGTACTGGTATGGGTTTCCAAACAGTAGCCTTGGCTGTAAAGGGCCTCTTTGTTCCAGTATGAGGAAGGTAGTCTCTCCCTACAAAAACTGGCTAGCCTCAGACAGCTGCTTTCAGGTTGCCCAGCAAAGAATTTTAGCATAGAACCAAGGGCTTTCCCAGAGAATGCTTACCTACTACATAACCATGCTTTTTCAAGACATTAAGTTGATGTTGTTCTTGCTCACTAAGATCTTCTTCAGCTTTAGCTGCATCTTGTTTAAGTCTTTTTTGCCTTTCAAACATTCTATAAGGAGTTGGGTTGCAAATAGGAAACTTCAGAAGGTTTAATGTAGTACCTGAAATATGAAAGAATACATACATTTTTAGAAAAGGGAATAAGGGGAAGAAAACAGACATTTTTGAGGATTTACACTGTGTTGGGTACTGGGATAAAATAAGTTATTCACACTTTACAAATGAGGGAATAGGTTCAGAGATTGGCTGACAGGCTAATTCAGAATTTGAATCCAAAATCTGCAGGCCTGATTTCTTTCCATTTTTATCACATTACCATCCAATATAAAAGCAATTCTGTGTATAATTCAACCAAAGTGCAAGACAGAGAAGAGCAGCTTACCAAACAAAGTTAAACTCTGGTTTCTAGGGAACAAATGGGGCAATTTATCAACTTAAATTCAAACCATAGAAGGACTCATTTTCCGATAATAGAAGTTCCTTAAAGTCCCAAGATTGACATTTCTTCTCAACAAAGCCACACATCATATTGCATTAATGAATTAGTTAAACATTACTCACGTATAGTATACTGGTCTCATACGAATAAATGCAAGATGTGAAGAGTAAGGTTGAGGGGTAGAGGGAAGTTCAGAGAGCAAAAAGGAAGCATGACTTTCTAGAAAAACATACAAAGGAGTAAGCTACATGACAAATCAACAGAGCAGGAACTTTGCTTTGTTCCTTAGAGTATTTACAGTGCCTAGTGACTGGAACACAGAAGTGCTCCATAAATATTTCCATTAGAAAATTACTAATAGAATAGCACTTCTAATATATCCATAGATTTTTTTTTTCCAAGCAGTCATCTGATACAGACGAAAGGCATGATCAAAGCAGGGAGAGAATTTTTAAAGGGAAGGCTCCAGGAAGCCCGTGGTAGACATTAAGGATGTACTAGGTGCCTGGGCCACGACCAGACGTGCAACTTCTCAGAAAACGAAGAGCGCTAGCCTCCTAAGACTCACCTGGCCAAGAGGAGATGGTGGCCCTGTCGATGGCCTCAGCGCCCTTGGCGGTGCAGTAGTCAGACTCCAGTAGCGTGTTAAAGAGAGTCGACTTGCCAGCGTTTGTGGCGCCCACCAGGTAGACGTCTCCACGGTAGCGCCAGGAGCGCTGAAGTGCCGAGATCAACTCTTCCACTCCATAGCCAGTCTTGGCGCTGATCAGACGCACGTCCCGGACCACCGTGCGGGACCTGCTGGACGCATTCGAATTCTCCTCCCCGTCCGGTGGCCCGTCCAGGCCGGGACGCTGTGGCCCTTGGTGGCCAGGGGCCAGCAGGAGCCCGGCGCGGGCACAGTCGTCCCACAGCCGCTCTCGGAGCCGCTGCCGGTAGCCAGGAGTATCCTGGGGCAGGAGGTCCAGTTTGTTTCCCAGCACGATCAGCTGCTTGGGGCCTACCAGTGCCGGCAAGTCGGACAGCAGGCCGTCGGGCAGGTCGAGCAGGTCCACCATGTAGAGCACCAGCGCGGGCCCGGGCCGGTGCAGCGCGGCGCTCACCAGCTGCAAGTACTGTTCGCGGCTCACCTGCAGACGCAGGGCGCGCCGGTGGTGCACCAGGAGCCAGCAGCGCTGGCACACGGTCCGCGCCAGCCCGCCATCCGCCTGCGCGGCGCTGAGGAACTTCTCGCTGGGCAGGTAGCCGGGCACGCCGGGGTCCCGGCAGTGCAGCTCTGCCCCGCAGCCCGAGCAGTTCAGGCCGCTGGGCGGCACCGTCGAGTCCGGGTGCCCCACCACGGGGTGCGCCAGGCGGCTGGCTCGTGACTTCCGCTGTCGCCTCTTCTGCCGCCGCTGTTCAGTCTGTCGCTCCTCCTCCTCCTGCCGCTGCTGCAGTTCTCCCAGCAGCTCTTCGGGGGTGGGCGCGGGCTCTGGCTCCGGGACGTACTCGGGGAACAGAAAACGCTCCTGCATGTCAGGGCTTCCTCCATAGCCCCCGGTCTCCGCGGGGCCACGAGGAAGCTCGCGTCCCAGGTCCGAAGAGTGCTGGAATGAGGAGTCGGCCGCGCGTCTCCCCGCCAGGAGCGGCTCCCACAGGCCATGGCGCGCTACCGCGGGAGCGGATCCCCGCAGGAAAGGGCACAGCAGCCTGCGGGCGAGGCGTGCAGGCAGCATGGGCGCCGCGGCTCCGGGCAAGGGGGCGGGCCATGCGCGCGCGCGCACTGTGCCCGGAGGCGCGCATTTAACCCGAGACGAAATCCCGGGGGTACCTGGGAGCTGTCATTTGTCACTGGCCACACTCACGCACACCTCGCGTCTAGTCCCGTGAGTTCTCGCGATAAAAGACTGAGGCCGAGAGTCCACTTAAAGCTGCAGCAAAGGCCCCAAGAACCTAGACTGAACTGGACGGGCAGGGGACTAGTCAGTTTTTCGGCTTTGTTCAGGTTCAGGCTGCTTCAGCGCGCCAGTGCTGGAATAAGACGCCCTTAATTAATCACTGTTTTTTTAAAACGTAGTGGTTTTTTTAGTCTTTAGAAGTGCAAAATGTAGTCAATGTCGGAGATTCACGGTCAGAACTAAAACCTTTTATTAACAAATTTACTTGGCTTTGTTTTCGAGTGTCATTATTTGTGCAATAACATTGAAAAAAAATACAGAAAGTTTCACTGGCTGAATTTAACCCTCCGGTTACAGGGGCTGTCCTCTCAATTAGCCACCGCAGACGGCGGCCCACGTTGTGCGCGTGCGCAACTCTAACCCGGGCCCAAACTTCCGCAACACTTTGCGCAGGCGCAGATCTTACCTTGGCCTCTTCGTGGGCGGTCTTTGGTGTGCGACGCACAGTATTCTGGGAAGGCAGGAGGCGGAAATTACCTTGTCTCTTGCTCTGGCAGCTGGTGGTTTGTTCACGCTTTTCCATCTCTGTGATTTCAAGAGTTAGGAGCTTGGGAACCGTTTGCCAATATGTATGACGCGGATGAGGGTAGGTAACCGCACAGATCACACTCCGCGGCTAGCCATTTACGTAGGGAAGCTGGATGGATTGGGGATTTGCGGCCTTCCCCAACGCCCGCCACACAAGAGTCCCCAGTCTTGTTCCCCACGTCTCCCAGGCTGGGAACGCGAGAGGTGGAGGGTGCTGGGTGCTGGAAACATAACGTCAGTGTTCCCAGTTAGGCTGACTCTTGCTTTGCCTACTGTCTCGTTGCGTTAAATGTGATACCGTATTCCCGTATTGAAATAGCATGCAAAACCATAAGACAGGTTATTTTGTTTTGATTTTATCTGAAGCAAAGAGCCCCTTTTCTGATTTGTCTTAAGGCCACGGTTAGCTGTTTTATTGAACAGCTCAATATTTGAGCATCAACCTTGTGCCAGGCATTGTGGAAGGCCCTTGGAAATACACGGTGCACAAAGCATATTGGGGAAGGGAGGATTTGGTTTAGTTTGACATTTCTTCATGTTGTCTTAAGTCTAAATAAATTCTTTATTGACTTATATTTCAAAATGTTAAGGGGGTACAAATGTTTTTGTTACATAGCTTGTATAATGCTTTAGTCAGGGCTATAAGTGTGCCCATCACCTGAATAGTGTTCATTGTACCTGTTAGGTAGGTTTTTTTTACCCCTCCCCTTCTCTCCTCGGCCCCCTTCTTGATTTCCAACTATTTTTACTTCTTTCTGTGCCCATCAATTAGTTCCAAATTATTAGAGAATCCAGGTGGTGGTTGTTTTTTTTGTTCTTGAGATACTTAAGATCATGGTCTCTAGTTCCATCCAAATTGCTACAAAAGGTATTAGTTCATGTCTGTTTATGGCTGAATAGTACTCCATTGTATATATACCACGTTTTGTTAATCCACTCATGAATTGATGGGCACTTGGGTTGATTCCACATCTTTGCAGTTGTGAATTGTGCTGCAGTAAACATTCGAGTGCATGTGTCTTTTTCATAAAATCATGACTTTTCCTTTGGGTAGATACCCAGTAGTGGGATTTCCGGATCGAATTGTAGGTCTGCTTTTAGTTCTTTGAGAAATCTCCATACTGCTTTCCATAGAGATTGTCATAATTTGCAGTTCCACCAACAGCGTGTAAGCATTTCTTTCTCTCTGCATGCATGTCAGCATCTGTTGTTTTTGGACTTTTTAATAAAAGCCATTCTAGTAGGGGTAAGGTGATATCTCACTGTGGTTTTAATTTGCATTTCTCTGATGATTAATGATGTTGAGCATTTTCCTGTTTGTTGGCCATTTGTCTGTCTTCTTTTGAAAAGCTTCTGTTCATGTCTTCTACCCACTTTTTAATGGGGTTGTTTGTTTTTTTCTTGCTGATTTGTTTGAGTTCTTTTTAGATTCTTGATGTTAGTCCTTTATCAGATGTATAGTTTGCAAATATTTTCCCCCCTTCTGTAGATTGTCTGTTTGCTCTGGTGATTATCTCCTCAGCTATGCAGAAGCTTTTTAATTTAATCAAGTCCAATTTATTTATTTTTGTGGTTGCTGTAATTGCCTTTGGGATCTTAGTCATAAATTGTTTGCCTAGGCTGATATCTGGAAGAGTTTTTCCTACATTTTATTCTAATATTTGTATGGTTTCATGCCTTACATTTAAGTGTTTTATCCATATCAAATTAATTTTTATAAGTGGTGAGAGATAGGGGTCCTGTTTCATTCTTCTGCATGTGGCTATCCGATTTCCCTGGTGCCATTTACATAAATTGTCTTTTTAAAAAATTTTATTTTAAAAGAATTAGGGGGTACAAGTTGAATTCTGTTACATACATTGTATAGTGGTGAAGTCTGGACTTCTAGTGTACCCATCACCCGAATAGTGTACATTCTACCCCATAGGTGATTTTTCATCCCTCATCCCTTCCCACCTTCCCCCCTGTTAAGTCTAAGTAAATTGTCTTAAAAGGTGACCTTTAAACTTCCTCTTCCCACAAGATGATAGAGTTCTCAGATGGTATGTATTCTACTGAACAGGGCCAATATATCTTTTTTCTTTTCACATATTAAAATCTTATTCATGTCTAGTGTATTTTCATGTTGTTTTTTTTAAAGCTCCCTCCTCCACATCTGCTTTTTTTTAGTTTTCTTTCTCTTTATTTATTTAGACAGAGTCTCGCTCTGTCACCCAGGCTGGAATGCAGTGGCTATTCACAGGTGCGATCATAGCGTACTACAGCCTTGAACTCCTGGGCTCTAGTGATCCTCCTGCCTTAGCCTCCAAAGTAGCTGGGACTATAGGCAAGTGCCACCATGCCCGGCTAATTTTCTTTTTTTTTCTATTTTAGTTGCTCAGCTAATTTTTTTCTATTTTTAGTAGAGACAGGGGTCTCACTCCTGCTGAGGCTGGTCTCAAACTCCTGACCTCAAATGATCCTCTTGCCTCAGCCTCCCTGAGCACTAGGATTACAGGCGTGAGCCACCACGTCCGGCCCCAGCTAAGTTTTCTATTTTTTGTAGAGATGGGATCTCACTCTTGCTCAGGCTGGTCTCAAACTCCTAACCTCAAGCGATCCTCTTGCCTCGGCCTCCCTGAGCACTAGGATTACAGGCATGAGCCACCACGCCCGGCCCAAAAGCTTAAACTTTTAAAGCTGTTTAAACTTCACTGTCTCATTCATATCTGTGTCTAGAAATTTATTAGCATCATTATATTTCCTTTTCTTCTTAACTACTATGTCAGTGGAAGAAAAATTCAAAAACTTTTTTAGCATAATTTTTTGAGTGCTTCAGGTACATTGGCCTTTCATTTTTTGCACATGGCATCCTATCTTTCATTGTGGAGTCTTTTGCATAGTTGTTTTTCTATTTGGGGTACTTCTTTCTCTACTCCTCCCACCTTTACCCCCTCCTTTTCCCTGATTTCCTCCTGTTTTGGGAAGTCTTCCCTGACCTCATCAGGCCCTGGTTAGGAATATTAGAAAATTTAGAAATTTTAAGTAAAAGGATTACCTTTTATTCAGCAGAGAGTAAATATGTTTCTGCTACTTAAAGTTGTCAGAACAAGATGTTAACTAGTGGCATCTTACTGTAAATAAGTATGATATTTTTGTTTTTACAGATATGCAATATGATGAGGATGATGATGAAATCACCCCAGATTTGTGGCAAGAAGCGTGCTGGATTGTAATCAGGTAACTTTGGACCAAACTGAATAAGCTTTTAGGCACAATAGATTTCCTGCTTATTCTTTTCTTGATAAATAGATGTTCTATATGAATATGCTGCATGAGAGTCTATCATTTTATTTATATATTTAACTTTTTAAAGTATTTCAGACTTACAGAAATTTTTTTGCAGAGATGGGGTCTCGCTATGTTGTCCAGGCTGGCCTCAAACTCCCAGCCGCAAGTGCTCCTCTTGCCTCAGCCTCCCAAAGTGCTGGGATTATAGGCATGAGCCACCATGCCTGGCCACTATTTGATTTCTGTATCTGCGCTACTGGCTCTGATCTCTCACCCATGCTCCATTTTTATTACCAGTCATTTGCTGAGCATTTTTATTCAAATGACTTACTCGCATCTCACTCTTAACATAATCGAAATAGAACTAATGATCCTTGACCTATAATTGACATTCTCACAGATTCCCTATTTTAGTCATTGATATCACCATCGTCCCTTTTATTGAAATTAAAGTTCTTTTTGTTATCTTCAATTATCCATTTTCTTTAGTTTTCTCTCCTAACACTTTTTAAAAGAAATATTTCAAAGAGGTTGAATGAAATTTGTCTATAAAAGGACATTTGTAAATCAAGGTTTCCTTCTAGTTCCTATGTTGTGCTTTAAATATTTTACCCATAAGTTTAAATTTCTTTTCCTAAATTTAATAAATTCTACAAAGAAAATGCTCTTGGCCTCACTACTTTTTAAGATACCTCATAGTATCTTTTTCAGTGGTTGGCATTTAATGAGTATTTGTTGAATTGAATCATAATGAAAATGGGGAAATAATGCTAGAAAACATCACTGAGCTGATGATGAACTCGAATATTTTTCCAGTTCCTATTTTGACGAGAAAGGCTTGGTCAGACAACAGCTGGATTCTTTCGATGAGTTTATTCAGATGTCTGTTCAAAGAATTGTGGAAGATGCTCCACCTATAGACCTACAAGCTGAAGCTCAGCATGCTAGTGGAGAAGTTGAAGAGCCGGTAAGATGGTTATTCTTATGAAGTTACGCAGGTAAAAGAAGAGTATTGCTTTGAAATTTCAGCCTTTTTCTCATCTGGCTTAAAGGTTAAAAAAAAAAAAAAAAGTCAGTAGGAGCGTTTAGCAATGTACTCATAGCCTCTTCAGTCAGCTCCTGATTTCTTCTTACTGATGGAGAAATGCATTTTTGCAAGTGACCCAAAACCCTAATCCTTACTCAAATAGTAGGAATTTAATAGTTGGCAAGAGGGGACTCAGAAATATGAACACCTAAGAGAAGTGAGCCAGAAATAGTCACACTGCTTTAGATACCCCCACTTTTTTCTTTCACAGTATAAGAATCATAAAAGAAAAAGTGGGCCGGGCGCAGTGGCTCACGCCTGTAATCCTAGCTCTCTGGGAGGCCGAGGCGGGCGGATGGTTTGAGCTCAGGAGTTCAAAACCAGCCTCAGCAAGAGCGAGACCCCGTCTCTACTAAAAATAGAAAGAAATTAATTGGACAACTAAAAATACATAGAAAAAATTAGCCGGGCATGGTGGCACATGCCTGTAGTCCCAGCTACTCGGGAGGCTGAGGCAGGAGGATCGCTTGAGCCCAGGAGTTTGAGGTTGCTGTGAGCTAGGATGATGCCATGACACTCTAGCCCGGGCAACACAGTGAGACTCTGTCTCAAAAAAAAAAAAAAAAAGAAAAAGTGCTTGAAGGACTTTTTCTCCTAATTTTTATATGTTGCATGTAAAACGTAAGAGATAAAAAAGGAAAATCACCTAAATGTATCAGCTATTTTTATTTTTTAGTTCCTTATAGTTTTTGTTCATACATATCTTTTCTTTGTTCTCTGGTCTCTTTTTACTTTTGATCCTAACCAAGGAGAAGGCACTATATAGATCATGTATAGGCACTATATAGAAAGCACTATATAGATCATTAATACAAATCCACTTTAAATGTTTGATATAAACTCAGAGCACAAGATATGTACAGTCTTTATTTACTCGTGGCATAGTAAGCCTCTTTTTGTCTTCTGCTTTAAGAAAGTAATTAGGTTAAAAAAACCTTGATATTCTAAGCAATGTGGATGTTGACTTTAGAAAGTTCCCATATCAGTAAAATGGATTGATTTTGCCAGTTTGTAGAGCTGCTTCTATTAAAATGTTAATGGAATCCTTAAAACTTTTATAGGAAAAATTATTTACCCTTTTCATGTTTTTTGTTTAATTTCAGCCAAGATATTTGCTGAAGTTCGAACAAATCTACCTCTCCAAGCCTACCCATTGGGAAAGAGACGGTGCTCCTTCACCAATGATGCCAAACGAAGCCAGATTAAGAAATCTCACGTAAGAATATTTTCCTTGTCAGCAGCTGATATTGAAACAGAATTCAGAAAATGTAATTTTAACCAGTTGAGGATTTATGTTTGAGCAGATACCCAACTAGTATTGCTTAACTGTGATCTGCTTTTATTTTCAAAGGTATTCTGCTCCACTTTATGTTGATATAACAAAAACAGTCATTAAAGAAGGTGAAGAACAACTGCAGACTCAGCATCAGAAAACTTTTATAGGAAAAATTCCGATTATGTTACGGTCAACTTATTGCTTATTGAATGGCTTAACAGATCGTGATCTTTGCGAGTTAAATGAATGTCCTTTGGATCCTGGTGGCTATTTCATTATTAATGGATCAGAAAAGGTATAGTAACATTGCTTAAAAAAAAAATCACAAAATCAGCCAGCCATGGTGGCTCCGATTTGTAATCCCAGCTCTTTGAGAGGCCAAGGTGGGAGGATCACTTGAGGCCAGGAGTTTGAGACTAGCCTGGGCAACATAGCAAGACCCCTTCTCTACAAAAAATAAAAAAATTAGCCAGGCTTGGTGGCATGCACTTGTAGTCCCAGCTAGTCAAGAGTCTGAGGCAGGAGAATCACTTGAGCCCAGGGATTTGAGGTTACAGTGAGCTATTATTGGGCCACTGCACTCCAGCCTGGGCAACCGAGTGAGACCTTGTCTCTTAAAAAAAAATTTACAAATGATAGTTAAAATTTAAATTATTAAAGTTGAAATTAAAAAGTAAATTTTCATGGAGGATATCATAGAAGTGGCAGTTGAATCATTTTTAGGGCATAAACAGCTAAACTTACATAAACCAAAGCTTTATTTAACTGTATATAAAATGCATTAGGAATTTGGATGTTGGAGCGTATATATTTCTGTGAAGCATTTTTGCAAAACGGAGTTTGGAAAGTTCAAGAATTAATTTTCAGTGAGCCTATATAATTAAATTAAGGTACAGATTTTTACTTTTCTTTCTGCTTCAATGACCTTTTGGGTTTTACGGCTGTAACTTTCTTACTGTCCATATAGGTTCTGATTGCTCAAGAGAAAATGGCAACAAACACAGTTTATGTGTTTGCCAAGAAGGATTCTAAATATGCCTACACAGGAGAGTGTAGATCATGTCTGGAGAATTCTTCCCGACCCACCAGTACTATATGGGTTAGCATGCTGGCAAGAGGAGGACAGGTATGGACTGGGATATGGTGTTTTGGGGTTTATTCCTTTGTACCTTGTTTTGTAATTATCAGACTGCACTCTTAGTCCAAGAAAGCTTTTCTGGAGCACTTAGTTGGTGTTATATGTTAGGCATTTGAAGCAGAGAAATATTATTAAAACTGAGAAATCAGGTATGTCAGTATAGGTCAGCAAGTTTTACTTTGTTTCTGTATATGTGTACAATTAAAGAGGAAGAAATGGGTAAAAAGAAGTCGTGTAAAAGGTGCTGTTTGTTAATTTTGAAACATTCAAAGAAGGAGGTACTTCAGTCCAGCTGTGGTTTAGTATTTATTTTTCATTCTGTGCTTAGCTTTTTTCCATATTTGTATATTCATATTCTCTTTATTTTTTACTCCTCACCCAATTCCTTCTTCCAGAGTTGTTTTTCTTTTTTTTTGCCCCCCAGGGGTGGGGTGGGGAGGGTGAGGAATTGGTATTCACATTCTTTTATGGCCAAAAATTATTTTGAAATATAGTATTGGGGAATTCTGAGAGAATCTTGGCAGGCAGGTAGAAGAGAATGGAAGTTCTCTCCGGTCTAAATGACCAGCCTGTCTGTAAAACTAGTAAACCTGTTTTAGTGGTTTTGAAAAGCAGCCATAGAAGGTTCCTTGGAGTATGGGAGACATACTTTTTTTGAAATATGTACAATGAACATACATACTAAATGGGTTTCTTGATGTTTTTACATTGCTGTGAACTTTTGTATATTCAGGTTCTAATGATATTTTATTTTTCTAGGGTGCAAAAAAGAGTGCTATCGGTCAGCGCATTGTGGCAACTCTACCGTATATCAAGCAAGAAGTTCCCATCATTATTGTTTTCAGAGCATTAGGTTTTGTGTCTGACAGAGACATTTTAGAGCATATTATTTATGATTTTGAAGATCCAGAGATGATGGAAATGGTAATGTGAAAGCAAAACGTATTCATAGTGTTGAGACGTGCCGATTGTTGCTAACCTTAAAATATGATAGAAAGCTGCTCTGAAGAGCAATTTAGGTGTCACAATTCTCATGCCATTTACCGTGTGGTGAAAGCCTTCAGCGCTGCCTACACCTCTCTCCTGACAGTTCTGTGTAAAATAGACATGAAAACTAGAGGCAGCCAGAGTTCAGTGACAGCAGCAAGAAGAATAAGTAGCGAAGAAAATGGTAAAAGCACACCAGCCTGGTGCAATTTAGTAAAAAGGGAAAATGCATAGTTGATACCTATTTTTAAGACAACTTTTTATTTTGAAATAATTTTGAATTTAAAAGCTGTAAGAATAATACAGAGAACTCTTGTATGATCTTCACCCTGATTGACTAGTTGTTAATTTTGCCACATTCGCTTTATCATTCTTTCTTTCTATAGATACACATTATTATTATTATTTGTTTTGGACCGTTTGAAAGTCAGTTACAGGCATCATGCCCCTAACTCCTAAATACTTTGGTATGTATTTCCTAAGAACCAGGACATTCCCTTACATAATCATAGTATAATTATTAAAATAAAAAAAAATAACTAGGTACAATACTATTAATGTAAAGATTTTACTCACGTTTTGTCAATTGTCCCAATAATGCCCTTAATGGCACTTTTTCTAGTTCAGAATCGTGCATTACATTTTCTTAATGTCTTTTTAAATCTTTCCTCAGCCTGCCTTTGTCTTTCAAAGCATTAAAATTTTTAGAGTGGATAGGTCATTCATTTTGTAGAATTTCCATCAGTTTGGGTTTTTCAGATAGTTTCTCACAATTAGATTGAATTTTTGCATTTTGTTGGCAGGAGAAATACAGAAGTAATTGTGTGCTTCCCAGGGCATCTTATCGAGAGTCACGTGATATCATTTTGTCCCATTATTGATACTGTTAACTTTGATCACAGTGGTATCTGTTAGGTACTTCCACTGTAAAGTTACTATTTTTGTGGGAAACTTTTGTGGGAAGGTTTTTTGAGTATAGATAAATACTCATTTCTTCATCAGTTTTTTTTCATTGATGATCCTTGTCTGAATAGTATAATATTCTTCGTTGCCCTAAATTGTCCATAGTTTTTAATACTACAGAGAAATAAGGTAAAATGTAGGGTAAACATTTGTCACAAAGTTAGAGAATGGAATACATTTTAGTAATTAGAGTTTTTTTTTTTTAAAAAAAAACACAAGGTCTTGCTCTGTTGCCCAGGCTGGAGTGTAGTACCTTGATCTTAGCTCACTTTAACCTTGAATTCCTGGACTCCAGTGATCCTCCTGCCTCAGACTCCCAACTAGCTGGGACTACAGGTGCATGCCACCATGCCCAGCTAATTTTTCTATTTTTTATAGAGATGGTGTCTTGCTATGTTGCCCAGGCTGATCTTGAGCTCCTGGCCTCAAGTGAGCCTCCCCTATTTGGCCTATCAAAGTGCTAGAATTACAGACATGAGCCATCATACCCAGCCAATTATTGAAGTGTTTATTGGTGTGGTTACATGAGAAAAATGAGTTCTAGTTAGATTTTACTTTCAGCTTTTACCAGTAGCTGTATGCCTTTTTACTATTTTTTTAACACTTAAAAATTTAATTTGTAAAACAAAAGATAGTGTATGTTATCTTTTATTTAAAAGGTATCCTAAATGATTCAAACTGAATTCAGATTGTATCCAATCTGTAATTTTCTTAGTAAAGTGAAAGACTTGATTTACTTTATGTATATTGTCTTTTTGACAAATACTGTTTGTTTTTTCAGCACTTAAAAAGCTTAGGCCAATTTTTACAAATCCATGAGTCAAGCATTCGCTTTATGAAAGTGTTTTATTGTTTTTTCTAAAAGTGTATTATTATTGTTATTCCTTTTTCCCAATCTATATTAACCTTAACAAAACAGTTTTATAACAACCATGGCAGTTTTCTTTAAAAAGATCACTTGAATCTGCTTTGCTTTCTGTGGCCTCACTTTGATTGGTTTATGTGGCCTTTTCCAGAGCTTGGTCCCATGATTGGGATTTGGATGTTTAAACTTGTGGATCAGTGATTAAAAAAAAAGACATAGGAAGTCAAAGGCAAGAAAGGCATTTCGGTATAATGTGATAGGATTCAAGGGAACTTACAGAGGCCAGAGTTACCCTCATTTCTCATGTTCATCATTGTATATAATTAGAAATTTAGAATGTTAGAACTGGAGTAGAACTTAAAAATTATTTTGAGGCCGGGCGCGGTGGCTCACGCCTGTAATCCTAGCACTCTGGGAGGCCGAGGCGGGCGGATTGTTTGAGCTCAGGAGTTCGAAACCAGCCTGAGCAAGAGCGAGACCCCGTCTCTACTAAAATTAGAAAGAAATTAATTGGACAACTAAAAATACATAGAAAAAATTAGCCGGGCATGGTGGTGCATGCCTGTAGTCCCAGCTACTCGGGAGGCTGAGGCAGGAGGATCTCTTGAGCCCAGGAGTTTGAGGTTGCTGTGAGCTAGGCTGACGCCATGGCACTCTAGCCCGGGCAACACAGTGAGACTCTGTCTCAAAAAAAAAAAAATTATTTTGTGTAACCCTTTTGTAGATGAGGAAACTGATTACCTGGCTGCTCACAGATAGTGGCAGGGATGGAATGCAGGTCTCCAACAGTGTGCTTTTAAAATAGTTTGCCTGTTCGAGGCACAGTGAGCTGTGATTGGGCCACTGCACTCCACCCTGCCTCAGTGTAAAAAACAATAAATTAAATAGTCTGCTTCACAAAATATTGAGTGGTTTTATTTATAGGTTAAAAATTTCTTAATACCAAAACTGCAAACGATCTGGCACATTTATTCATTTGTAGCTCAGTAAGTTACGATTTGACTATGAAACTTCTCTAACCTGGTTTTAGATATCTGGAAGGAACTTCATTTTGCCATCGGTCATTAAAATGTAAAAAACAGGCAAAAAGAAACACACTACTTTTTTTTTATATAATGGAATTATTTGTATCTTCCTAGAAAGTAGAATTACCTGTGCTGATGAGCAGATTTTGTTAGAGATCTCTAGATCGCTGAGGTGTCTGTCTTGTGAGATTTTGTGATTCCTTGACTTTCTAAAAACATTCACATATTTGATTATGTTTATAGGGATACTTGGCATGTTATAAATGAGGTGATAGATGACTCATTTTAAGGTGAAAATATGAATTTGAAAATAACTTCTATTTAAATTATTTGATAGGTTAAACCTTCTCTCGATGAAGCATTTGTCATCCAAGAACAGAATGTTGCACTAAATTTCATTGGTTCAAGAGGGGCAAAACCTGGTGTTACTAAAGAGAAAAGAATTAAATATGCGAAAGAAGTCTTACAAAAAGAAATGCTCCCTCATGTTGGTGTCAGTGATTTTTGTGAGACCAAAAAAGCCTATTTCTTGGGGTAGGTGAAATTTCATTTTAAGTTCTCTGCTAAGCTATAGTTGAGATAAAGTTTTTTTCTTAAAGCTAAAAATGTCAAAAATGATGTTTTTAATATATAAATTAAGGGAAAAATAGCCACAAACTGTTCACTTCTTTTTTTTAGGTATATGGTTCATAGGTTACTTCTAGCAGCTTTGGGTAGAAGAGAACTGGATGACAGAGATCACTATGGAAACAAAAGATTGGATCTTGCTGGGCCGCTGCTTGCATTCTTATTTAGAGGGTAAGGAATTAAAGAATAAATAAGAACATTAAGGAGGTTTCACTTATTTTTTTTTTTTTTTTTTTGAGACAGAGTTTCGCCTTGTCACCTGGGATAGAGTGCTGTGGTATCAGCCTAGCTCATAGCAGCCTCCAGCTCCTGGGCTCAAGTGATCCTCCTATTTCAGCCTTCCGAGTAGCTGGGACTCTACAGGTGCACAGCACCACGCCCAGCTAATTTCTTCTATTTTTAGTAGAGACAGGGTCTTGCTCTTGCTCAGGCTGGTCTCGAACTCCTGACCTGAATCGATCATCCCACCTCGGCCTCCCAGAGTGCCAGGATTACAGGCACGAGCCACTGCACCTGGCTGAGATTTCACTTTAGATTGGTCACTGCACATAGAGGAACTGAAGTATCTCGTACCTATATTGGTACTTAAAAAGTTAGCTACATTCTCTTTGCTGTTTGCCCAGATTTAGTTCTAGTTCATGTCTGGGAAGTCAAGTTTATGAGGACAATTTATTACTCGTTTGTGTTTTTTTTTGTCTGGTAGCTTTATGAGATATTTGAGAAAACTGAATATTGCCTTGATTTTCTTAGTGCTAATATTGGAATTTTTTTTTTTTTTTCTTGTTTTGCTAACATTTACAAAACACATATGGAATTCAAGACTTAGTCCTGCTTTTGTATTTTATAAACACACAAAACCTAGAGGGAAATATATAAAAATATTAGCAGTGATTATTACCGGATTGGGGTTATGTGTGATTTCTATTTTATTCTTGATGTTTTTATATTTTCCATGTTTTCTATAATAAACTTGTTATACGTTTATAATTAGAAAAAAGTTACTTGTAAAAACAAAATATGTAGACAATAGAAAAAGGCTAATAGTAGCAGTGTTTTGCACGTTTTGTTATTCAGTGTGTTGTAGATTAGTGTTTTTCAACCTTTTTTTGTTATTGCCCCACTGAAGAGCCTCTTTTGACATTTTTTCCTAATCACTCCCCCACCACGTATGTTCATGTACTGTATGTGTATATCTGTGCTTTATACATAAAAAGAGTAAAACTTTCACTGTGCCTGAACCATTTTTGCCCCTCCCCTGCAGTTTTTGCAATATTATTTCTGTTGAGAATGCATGTTGTAGACCTCCACATGTTTAAATCAATACCATTTCATTTGGCAGTATGTTTAAGAATTTGCTTAAAGAAGTACGGATCTATGCACAGAAGTTTATTGATCGAGGAAAGGATTTTAACTTGGAATTGGCAATCAAAACAAGGATTATATCTGATGGCCTAAAATACTCTTTAGCTACTGGAAACTGGGGTGACCAAAAGAAAGCTCATCAAGCCAGAGCTGGAGTATCTCAGGTAAGGGTGTCAACTTCAACTATGACTACAGGTTTGATAGGAAAAATGTTACAGGACTAGTACATTCTTTTATTTATTGAACATAAATTATTTTGCTTCTTTTTCTTGGTCAAATGTAAAATCACTGGGGCCTTTTGAATTATGAAAATGAAATTTTTCTTAAATTAGCTGTTAGCATTACTAAGAGAGGCAAAGGTTTTTGGCTTGCAGTTTAGGAACTCAAAATAATTAATAAATAAAAGTAGGTGTTTGGGAGCTGAGATGGTCCATGTTAGTGGAATTTTTATGCCTTAAAAGCTCCCCATTAGAAGCTAACCCAGAGAATAAATGGGCTTCCCCTTCCATTGTTGGAAAGTACAGTACTTCTAACACTGATTTCTGTATGTTGGTCTGTTGCATATACAC